ATATAAGTAAAAGAACTAATAATAATAAGAAAATAAAATATAATGAATTTCCAACCTACCGGATTTGAACCAGCGACCTAAGGATCAAGCTGCAACACACTACAGTCCTCCGCTCTACCATCTGAGCTAAGGTCAGTCACACATACGTGTGATACTCGAATTTATTTGTTGATAGTAATATGTACAATTGTCAAACACTTCTCTATGTATGAGAGGTAGTGCAATGGTTCAAATTTGCCCATTTTCTACTATACTTTTGATGACAATATAAGTAAATAGAAAAGTGACAATCTATTCTAATTATGCATATATGATTTGAGTAAAATTAAAAGTATGGTGTTATAAATTATAGTATCAAAGAACAAGTCATGAGTTATATAGTATGTATATATCTGTAAAAGCATGGGACATACTGTTTGACCATCTTATAAGTCTATCCATTTGAATTTTATTAATTTCTTTTATTAATAAAATATAGGACAAAAGTTCCGGGGTCGATAAATTGTCACTTTTTGTCCGTGCTTTTGATTCACTGGATGTCAAAAAAAAAAGTAGACTGCATTAGTTGAAGTCAAAGAAAACGGAGGGTTTATTTTTCACACCAGAATGAGTTAGATCAAGAATAAATAATCTAACCTCTAATTAAAATAAAAATAATTTAAAATGTTATAAAATAAAACACGAAGTTGATGAGGAGGTACTTCTGATCAAATTTAACTGAAGGGTCAAATTTAACCGAAGGGTCTTTCAAACTACCCAGGTAATGTTGGATGACGTATACGGTTGACTTGACTTGAGATGTGCCATCATAAAAATGACGCAAATCTTCTTATGTGAAGATCTATCATACTGTAGAAAATATCATTCTTATGAACAAGGGTCACATCCGGAAGACCAAAAAAGTGTGAATGCAATGAGCTGTGTCATTATCACATGCCACTAAGAAGTCTAGAGAATTATGTATCAACATCGTTTGACACTCGAGCACTTTCAGGTTATACAAATTCTTCCCTCTTTCGTTGGAAACAAAACGCGTTATAATATCATTGGAGGAGTACCAACCATCACGCTGGTATCTCTTCTTTTCGTATGACCCGGGTTCTTCGAAGGAAGCCATTCTTGAAGCTGATAAGGTCGACTTTATTTATAAAGTGACTCCTTACTGAACTTGATAAGATCAACTTGACTCGACTTGACTTGAGATGCCGTGCAGCACGCATGCCTTGACTTTTCTTCAGCCATATGTTGTAAGTCTTTTTTTTTTTCCCAGTTCTTGTATTTGTTATACTTTTCAATCTTTTTTTTTCGAATGACTTGACCACTTCATAGAAACTTTGTTCATCTAATTTGTCGATTTACTCTTAATCCTCTCCTCTGACACTCAAATAAATAAATAAATAATATGAAAGATGTTACTCTCAATTTTGGATGAGATGAATCGCTCAACCAGCTTCTGATAAGATCGAATCGCTCAATAGTGGTCTGCGCAGGACTTGTGAAAGAGTCACGGCATCGAGAAGGTGATTTTGAACGTGTAGAAGATTCCAATCAATCTAGCTAATCATTAATTCAATTGAGCATGATGGGGGATTTGACACATGATTAAACATGTTGACTAGCAGAGGCACTGTCCATCTTTTCTTTTTTCTTGAATAACACGGCATAGAATTCACAAGGCACTGTGTCCTCTAATGCCTAAACATCGAATGTCAGGGGAGTAAAACCTATAAATAAAAGGCCCCTCATCTCTTCGCTCAAACCCACAACAACATTTCTGCACTGCTGTCTTCTTCAGCTGCACCACCGTCATGCCATCTCAACTCTACAGAAGTTCTCTTCCGGCCAACCTCCTCTGGCTACTGGTATTGCTCTCTCCTTTTCTTGTTCTTGTAACAGCAACTTCACTAGGGTCCCAAGCGAGGGCTCTATTACACTGGAAGTCCACCCTCCAAGGTGGGCAATTGCTGGCATCCTGGAACATCGACTCTCGTCCTTGCAACTGGACTGGGGTTGCATGCAGCGTCACACGTAAGGGCCGCTTGGTCATCACCGACGTGCATCTGCCAGATATGAGCTTAGCAGGGCCACTTGATGTATTTAATTTTTCGGCGTTGGGATCACTCGCCACTCTCAACCTCAGTTGCAACCGGCTCAATGGAACTATCCCCCCTGCCATCGCCACCCTCTCGCAGCTGGTAACGCTTGATCTCACTGGCAACCTGTTCGTGGGCAGAATCCCGATCGAGATGGGCTCAATGAAGGGGCTCCAATTCTTAAGCCTGAGTCAAAATCAAATAATGAGTTCAGTACCTCCATCGTTGAGTAACCTTAGTGGCCTTACGCACTTGGACCTGCGACAAAATAAGCTTAGGGGTGTCATCCCCAGGGAGCTGGGGAGACTCGAGAAGTTAAGATTTTTGGAACTTGGGGACAACCAACTATCTGGCTCCATTCCTCCCAGTTTAGGGAACCTGACAAGACTGTATCACTTGGCTCTTTATGAAAACCAGTTAACTGGATCCATCCCTCCACAATTAGGAGATTTAAGAGACTTGGTTTACTTTTCACTCTCTAATAATAGTTTAACTGGTACCCTTTTTTTCATCTTAGGAAACCTAACCAAGTTACAGTATTTATTCTTGTGGAGAAATCATCTTTCGGGTTTCATCCCTCTTGAAATTGGAAATCTAATTGAGGTTTCAAATCTTGATCTCTCGAGTAATATGTTAACAGGTCATATCCCTTCCACCATAGGAAATATGAGTAACTTGAACATACTTTATCTTTTTGATAATGAGTTATCGGGCTCTATTCCTCCTCAGATTGGAAATCTTCTAGAGATTACCAATCTCTCTCTCCAAATGAACATGTTAGGAGGTCACATCCCTTTTTCATTATGTAACTTAACCAAACTACAGTCTTTGTTTCTATGGAAAAATCAACTTTCTGGATCCATCCCTCATGAGATTGGAAATCTCCTAGAGATTACTGATCTGTCTCTCCATATGAACATGTTAGGAGGTCACATCCCTTTCTCATTATGTAACTTAACCAAACTGCAGTCTTTGTTTCTATGGA